TTTTTTTTTTTTCTTCTGGCTACACACATGATGATCAGCTTTAGCACTGAAAGTTCCTTCTCATGGGCCACAATCACAATTCCAAGGATTAAAAACCACCTACTATTAAATCCTACACTGTTTCAGAGCATTAAGTCACTGCAGTTATTCAGTTCTGAGACACTGTCGATTATTTTAGCATTTACATATGATGTTCATTTAACAGACATAAAGCAAGCCATCATGTTGGTTTAGTTTAACAGAATGAGTTATGTTTGTTGTGAGATATGTGTAACCTAATGTTTGTTAACTTTGTGGTCTAAAGTGTTTAACTCTCAAGCAGATTCCTTAGTAGACCAAATCTTTTGTCACTGAAATTTTTTTTGTTGTTTTTTAATCCTCACTTGAGGATATTTTTTCCATTGTTTTTCAGAGAGAGGGAGGGAAAGAGAGAAACATCGATGTGAGGGAGACACATCAACTTGTTGCCTCCACCACATGCACTGAACCTGCAACTCAGCTGCATGCCTTTGACCAGGAATTGAACCTTCGACCCTTCGATGCACTGGCCAACACTCTAACCCCAAGCCATACTTGCCAGGGAGTCACTGAAATGTTTTGAGATAGACACGATTAAAACAACTTTCATCCCCTAGGATCTACTTTTTAAACTTTCCATCCCCATATTTATCAACTGCATGTATGGCCTCTAGAAATTAGTATGCTGAGCTGAACCAACTTGATGGGAGTAACTATCCATAGAGCTTGTTTTCCAAAGAAAAATATTGTTTAGAGTAGTAAAATTATAAGCCGACCTAGGCATGTTGTAAAGCCATTTGAAAGTAACTCAGAGCAAGTTTTGTGAATGGAAATATACTGCTCAAATCACATTCTGCTTTTAAAAGGTTGTGACAAATACAGATAAATTAAAAAGAAAGAAATAGTGTTATACAAATGCCAGTAGGTGTCTGCTTCCTTCAAGATACTCCTAATTCCTGCTCCCCAGAGATAAGAGCTTTTAATCATTTTAGCTATTCTGATATTTACCTCCATGTTTCTAAACATGTTAAACTGGTATTTATTTTCTCTTTGAGATATTATTTGTTGACTTTTAACTATGGAGGTTGAGGACTAAACTTCCCTTTACACCGTATTCCTCTCAATATACAAGTTTTGGTGAATCAGTTTTTGTCTCTGATATTATTTGACTATATAAAACTTACCCACAGCTGAGCTCTCTAATATGAATATATAATCACATTGCCTTTAATTTTTAATTCTTAGTTTTTTGAAATTATTAACTGCCTTGTTTTTATCACTGTTTAGTTTCCTACATATCTATTCCCAAACTCTGAGCAAAACTAAAGTCTACCAGTTTTATTTTTTCCCTGGTAACATTTTTTTCTAGAGTGGTTCTGCCTTTTTTTATAGTCCAGGCTAGTTGCTTTCTCAGCTCATTGCATAAATGCTGACCTATATGTGTCCTTTACCATCATCTCTGCCTCTCCTGTGTTAGATCACTTGTCTTTCTGATCCCCAAGCTTTTTTCTTTTGTGATTCATCCCTTGTTTTGGTGGAGCACATTTGGTGGAACACATATAGTGTTCCAAGAAAAGGTGAATGGCATATAAGAGGCTTTACATTTCTGAAAATATCTGTTTGCCCTTGTACATAGGTGATTATTTGGCTTTGTTTGGTGTTCTAAGCTGGACTTTTTTTTTTTTTTTTTCCAAAATTTGAAGTTAATATGCTGTTGTCTTTTCACAGTGATATGAGAAGTCATGTGCAATTCTGATTATCTACCCTTTGTATGTGAACTGTTTTTTCTCTCATGTTTGTCTTTTTATTAGCATTGTGCTGAACTTACATCATGAGCTGTGGTATGGGTTTTGTGTTGGGCACTTGGCGGAGCCCTTTCAACCTAGTAACTCATGCACCTTACTTGGTGAAATTTTCTTAATTTATTCTCCCTTTTAATTTCTGTTTTCTCTTGTTGAAGCCATCTAGACCACTCCCCTAATTATCTTTTCTCTCCTCAATTTTTATTCTACTTTCTGGGCAATTTTTCTCTCACTTATTTGATAACCAAGAGCTTTGGGGAATTTCTGAATGTTCCTTTTTTTTTTTTTTAATCCTCACCCAAGGATATGTTTACTGATTTTTTTAGAGAGAGGAAGGGAGAGAGAAAAAGAAAAACATCGATGTGAGAAATAAATATCAATCGACTGCCTCCTGCATGCGCCCCAACTGGGAATAGAACCTGCAACCTTCTGGTGTACAGGACAACACTCCAACCAACTGAGCCACCTGGCCAGGGCCAAAACATTCCTTTTTATTTTTTATTTTATTTCATTTTATATATATGTTGATTTCAGAGAGAGGAAGGGAGAGGGAGAGAGAGAAACATCATTGACGAGACAGTTGTCATTGATTAGCTGTCTCCTGCACGCTTCCAACTGGGGATTGAGTCTGCAACCCAGGCATATGCCCCAATGGGGAATCGAACAGTGATCTTCTGGATCCTAGGTTGATGCTCAACCTCTGAGCCATGCCTGGCCGGGCAGAACATTCCTTTTTAAATTTGACTTTTTTTGTTCTTATTCCATATTTGCAGTAACTTAAGAGTTAATTGTAGTTGTTTGGGTTTTTTTTGTTTTTATGTTTTCTGCTCCTTTTTTCCTGTTATGTTTTTGGTGTCTAACTTTGAAGTTATAGGTTTTCTAAAATATATAAAATACTTAAAACAGTGCCTAGCACACAGGATATACTCAGTAAATGTTAGATGATATTTCCTGGTGAGTGGACTGGAGGAAAGGAGAGAAGGATGGCAGAGTGACAAATCTTTGTAAATGGTCTAAGAAGTGGATGGGGAGGATCTGAACTTAAATAGTTTGGGGATATAATGAATATACAAAAGATTAGACATCCTAAAGTTTCCACATGAAGAGTAAGGTAGATTTAAAGATGATCTTAAGATTTCTGGCTTGAGAAATTCTGTGTCTTCCATAACTAAAATTGAGAAAACAGGAGAAAAAGCAGTATTGGGAGAATAACACTGAGTACCTTTTTGGACTTGAGAAGTATGAGGTGGCCTTAACATATCACTAAAGCCTCTTCACAATTTGTCTCCTACCAAAGTGCCAGGCTCTTTTCTCTCCATTTTTTACCACAGTCTTAGAATATTCAGAAGTCTCAGCATTCTACTTATCTTTTGAGAAATCACAATTGAACTTGCTTAAATTACTTAAAACATCTTCCTTCTGGGCTCTCTTAAGACATAAGTTCATGAGTTTGTGTATATGTGTGTCTCACTTTAAGAACAGATGAAGGCCTCAGTATCTTAAGAAAAATGATAACAATTCATACCAGACTGGTAAAGTTGTTTACCTTGGCAGACTGGTTTTGGCAGGGGAATTACTAATTTTTTAACTATGCTTGTATTGTTTTTTTTCAAAGAACTATGTATTATTTTTGTAAATAAAGGTTTTTTTAAATTTAAAAATAATCAATGTAAAGGTATTTTGGCAAACTCTAGTTTTCATCAGCTACTTTGAAAAATAGTCTATGAAACAAACAAAAGAAATACTATTTAAATAATTTTATTATGTAAAATGTGACTTTTTTCTTTTGAGGTCTGAGTTCTGATTTTTTTATAGGTTTTACAGCTCTTTAAAACATTGCACAGGACCAGACAACAAGTTTTTAAAAATGATACCAGGGCATTAGAAGGTAAGTTGATTGTTTTTCCTTTGGAGCAAGTGCATTCTTCATATGGCTAATATAGCCAAGAGACTTTGTATAGTCAAGACTCAGCTTAGGGAATGACTTTCATTACCTCTTCCCTAATGTTATGTGTTATAAAGATTAGTTTAGATTACACTTTTTTGAGGAGAATATACTTAAAGAAAATAAAATTTCTCTATTCTATAATCAAATTTTCACACACTCTAGGACCAGATACTACCATATTGTTAATACCTGTGTCATTCTAGAAGTGATAGCAGCTGTGAAAGATAATCTATCCCCAAGCAATCCCAAATTCAGTATTTCACGGTTTTAAGTGATTTCTATCTTACCTGGAAGTCAGAGCTCTAAAGCTTAGGTTCTGTATTGGTCATGTTCAGTCCCAATCCTCATTCATTTCTAAACCTCTTTAATCTAGGTAAAGTGTCCCCACTGTCCCCAGGAATGCAAGTTTTTGTAATTCACCAAAAGTAATACACTGTTGTTTTTAGCAGATTTTAACGAATAGGCCATATGTTTGAAAAAACACTGTAGTAATTTTGCCAACATAAATAAATATTACATATCTATAACTATAGACTACATACTTAAATCCAAGAGTCACCTCTTGTCACGTGATCACACCCTGTGGTGGGGATAATTGGTTCTGTTGTCACATGGCGTGACAGTTTCTGCAGCAGTTTTAACACCTGCGAGCCTGTGTTCCAACATGTACTAAGCCATGCCCCAGTTGTATGCATTTGTTAACTCTCAGTGACTGATGAATGCACACATTTACTAGACCTATTCAGTATAAATTTAAAATTACAGTAATACATATAGAAAACTTTTCTGTGAAATTAAGCTTTTCATGCATACTTAATTACACAAACGTGTCTATGTAAGACAGGTAAACTAATTTGTCAATTTTTTAACATACACATTCGGGAAGCCTACTTTATTATATAACAGACTTTCAGCTTTAACAGACACTGCCACTCGCCCGAATTATTCTCTTATATCGAGGTTTTACTGTACAATTTCTATTCAGATAAGAAACTAACAAAATGTGAAAGGATTTCCCGCACATTATACTTAGTAAGAGGTAGAGCTAGGATTCAGCCTAAGCAGTCTGGCTCCAAAGCCCGCCTTATATGTTGAAATTATGAAGATAGATGGAAGGTTTTATGACTGCTCTCCATCAAAATAGCATATTTTTGTTGCTTTAAATGTTTTTAAGTAAAATAATTATAAGAGCAGGTAACATTGCGTATTTACTATCACTTTACATGGATCATTACATTAAATGCTCACAGTAATACATACAATAAGGCAGTTTGTCAAATTAAACTGAATTATGCTGCTATAATGATGCCAAAGTGTCAGTGGCATATGTGAACAAAAGTTTTATTTATCACTTACTTTACATGTCAGAGAAGGCGTTCAAAGCTGCTATATCTTTATTTTAATTAGTTTGTGTGTGTGGTTTAATGTGTTTGTATGTACTGAGTTTTGCCACCTTAAAAACATTTCAATTTAAATTTTTAGATTTATAGGAATAAAGCATTACATTGGATGTGTTAGAATCTAATAGCTAGAGGTACACAAGTGAAATTGGAACTAAAAAGCAGGAAACAAAAGTATTAGAGTGCTGAAGGTTTATATTAGGTTTAATTACAAACTTGCCAGCCTGTCAAAAGCTCTCCAAGAGACTTCTTTAATAAATTTCTTATTTTTATATTTTGTTTTACATAGGGCAAAACTATTTCCTCTACTAGAGAAGTAGTCATTCATAATGAATAACATGTAAGTTATTGGAACAGGAGTCATAAATTAGAAAAGCAAATAACTGTATGTATTTTTCTTTTTGTAGCAGCCAGAATAAAGATAAATGAAGAATTTAAAAGCAATAAAAATGAAGCTTCTCCTAAGAAAGTAGAAGAGGTACAGTAATTGAGTTTTCCAATTTTACAATAAAACTCTTGTAAATTTTCTTAGCAACTAGAGGAAATGATGAAAATAGAGAGGTTATGTGAAATAAAAACCCTGATAGTTAAAGCAACTACAGATAACCTTCACTTGTTTAGCCTGGCTCACCTCCTCCTGTCATCTGCCTACACCCATAGACAGCAAGGTGCCTGATGAAAAGAACATGCATGGTAGCCATGGTCAAAACAAGAGCAGCTGAATCAACCCAGACACCCATAGAAATGCTATCTTCACTTAAGGCAAGTGACTGAAACTGAAAAGAATGAGTGCTGTGTTAACTCAGAACTACAGAGGTATCATCTACTTATTTAGCTCAACTAGACAGTTTTTTTAAATTCCTATCTTGGTGGTGGAAGTTAACCAGCCACAGTTTATGAACACTCTTGGTTTGCTTTCTATATTTGCATTTAGTCACTTGTTTTAGTTGAAGACAGTCTACTGAAATTAGTCTGTGAGCTTCCTAGTCCTCCCAATACATATTCATTGAAAAAATGCACAATGATTTGTTTCCTGTATAAAATCATGCTGCGTATAAATACTGTCTCAGTCTTGTGCTTCCTAAGTATTCCTGTTTTTAACCTTGTATAAATACAGCGAAAGGACCCACAGGAAGAAAATGAAAAATGGAAAACTGTTTGCAGGGGTAGTTATGATTCCAAGAACTGGTTTGATAAAAAGGAAAGTACAAATTAGAGAAATTCTTCTGTGTTTAATAGAATTTCCAAACATTAAAAAATTTTTTGACAAAAATGCATTTATGTTTTGATATATATATTTTTGAAATAGTAAATGTAATAAGCTAATGAGACAAAATGAGATAGCTTAATTATTTCTATTCCTATAATATAAAGAAAAAAGGAGAAGATTTCCCTTAAGCATATGAAAGGACACACAGGAACTATGTAATTTTTATTCATGTAGAAGTTAAGATGACATTAGAATTAAGTCATGGCTTGAATTGAAGTTAAAAGGTATACATAGAAGTTTGTACCATTTGCTCTTCAGTAGACTAATAACAATTTGGCAATTTTTAAATTTTGAAATCATGGTTTAAAATTTTTTAAATTTTAAATTATCTGTATCAACTAAACTGAGAAAATGAACTACAATCTCCCAAATTCATTTTACTTTTAGAATTCTAATGTAACATTAAGCAATCTAGAAATTATATATTTGTTATGTACAAATAGACAAGTACTTTTTTACTTTCTATAACTTCATATATTAAACATTTAGTAGCTTTTGGATTATTACATTATGATATATTAAAGGGTTCATTAGTCTTGGCATCAAAAGGAAATTTAAGCATTCTCCAGAGTAGCAGTTCTCAAACTTTTTGGTCTCTAGACCCCTTTACCTTATTAAAAATTGAGGACCCTAAAAAGTGCTGTTTATGTGTTATACCTATCAATATTTACCATACAGTATTAGAATTTTAAACTATGAAATTTAAATATATATACATTGAATAAATTACTTAAAAACAATAAACCCATTGCATGTTAACAAATACATTGTTTATGGAAAAATAACTATTTTCAAAATAATTTAGTGAGAAGAGTGGCATGCTTTACATTTTTTCAGATCTCTTTCATGTCTGGCTTAATAGAAGTCAGCTATATTCTATCTGCTTCCTCATTCAATGTTTTTTTATGTTGAAGTATATGAAGAAAATCCAGCCTCACACAAATAAATAGTTAGAGCCCGGCCAGGTGTGGCTCAGCGGTTGAGCGTCAACCTAGGATCCAGGTGATCAGGGTTCGATTCCTGGTCAGGGCACATGCCTGGGTTGCGGGCTCGATCCCCAGTCGAGGGCGTGCAGGAGGCATCTGATCAATGACTCTCTCATCATTGATATTTCTCTATCTCTCTCTCTCTCCCTCTCCTTTCCTCTCTCTGAAATCAATAAAGATATATTTTTTAAAAAAATAGTTGGAAAGGTATAGGAGTATGTAATAGCCTTTTCAAAAAATTATGAATATTCTTTGATAATATATATCAACAAGTGATAAATTTCCTTAAAGGTTAGTCACAGTGTAGAACTCTGTCACTATTAGATCAGTGGAAATGATATATTCAATTTAATTTTATTCATAATTCATACATACCACCTCCTGCTCATTCCCTCTGGTCTCCCCTAATCCCTGTTCCTCATTTAACCTTGTTCCCAGCCTTAGACCTAGGACTCAGTTTATTCATCTCCAGTGGGTGAGGTGACCCTTTTTTCCCCCCTTTCTCTAGCCCCTTCTCAGGTCTGTCAGGATGTGAGGCTTTGGTCTCCCACAGGCTTCTCCATGTTAGTTAATGGCAGCTCCCTCCTTTTTTTTTTTTTTTTTTTTTAATATATCTTTATTGATTTCAGAGAGAGGAAGGGAGAGGGAGAGAGAGAAATAGAAACATCAATGATGAGAGAGTCATTAATCGGCTGCTGCCTCCTGCACACCCCCGACTGGGGATTGAGCCCACAACCCGGGCATGTGCCCTGATGAGAATCAAACCACCATCTCCTGGGTCCTAGGCTGACGCTCAACCACTGAGCCACGCCCGTCCTGGCACTTCCTCCTTTTGATGCTCAGATCAAAATCTTAGGTGCTATTTTGACTGCTTTTCTTCTGTCAAATTTACATTTAATCTGGTAGCAAATCATATTTGCTTAACCTTCAAAATATATCTAGAATTTGAGCACTTCTCATCCCTTCCTATCATTATCTCCTGGTTTAAGTCATTGTCATTTCTAACTGAATTGTTCCAACAGCCTTCTACTGGACCTCCATTATTTTGCCCTAACTGAAGCCTATTCTCAATACTTTTAAAGGCAGAGTGAACCTTTTTTTTAAAAAAAGGCATATTCTATCCCTCCTCAGCTCACAACCCCCATGACTCCTATTCCATGACCCAAAAGGCTATATCCTCTGACCCCTGTTAACTTCCCTCCTCACTTCACTCATTTTCAAGAAAAAGTGTACCAAATACCTAAGTCTGATTAATCATTGTTTGCTTGTCTGTTAGTGGTTTATTCAAGTACAAATGGTATGTCATAGAGAAAGCTCTAGTTCTCACAAACAGTGCAGAAGGCTCTCATATTATGAAAATAAATTTGATGTCGTGGTTCCCTGAAAGGGTCTCAGGGTGCCTCAAGGGGTCCACACATTGAGAATTGCTGTCCTAGTCCAGGTCTTTATTTTGTAAATGATGAGGTCTGAAACTCAGAGTAGGTTATTAACCCAAGGCGATACACTTAATGACAGAGCCAGAGTTGGAATCCAAGTAATCTGACTCCTAATCCAACACTCTTTCTAGTGTTCAGAACATCCAACTCTATAAAAGAAAGATTCACCACCACCCCCCAAAAAAACTGTGTATTTTAAAAAGATTGTAACATATATTCAACAAAACAATACTCTAAATGTGTTTTGGAAAAAAATATGGAATGGATGGATAAAAGTTAAAAGTATACGCCTATCTGAGCTTTCTGTACACTTGGAATGATTACAAAAAGTTAAAGGCAATATAATTACATAAAAAGAAATTGTAGTAAACCCATAATTTTCAAAATTTTTCATTCATATGAACCATTGAAAAAACGCCTGAAGGATTTATTCTGTGTTTGCTTTTCTTAACAGCTAATAAAAATAGGTTCTGATGTGGAATTGTTACTCAGAACATCTGTTATACAAGGTATTCACACAGACCACAATACACTGAGTAAGTAAAATGAAAGAAAAATCTTTTCTGATTGCAATGTGTTTTAAAATATTGAGCAATTACAGTGCTTTTAATAATGGTTATTAAAACAGCTTGATTTTTGACAGACAGCGTGGTATATATTGTATACATTTGTAAATCTACCATTTAAAATTGCTGAATTATGGCCCTGGTTGGTTTGGCTCAGTAGTTAGAGTGAAGGGGCTGAAGGGTCCCAGATTCGATTCTTGCCAAGAACACGGTTGCAGGCTCCATCCCCAGCCCTGGTCAGGGGCTCATGTGGGAGGCAGCCAATCAGTGTGTCTCTCTCACATTGATACGTCTCTCTCTCTCTCTTCTACTCTCTGAAAAGCAATGGAAAAAAATGTCCTCCAATGAGGATTAAAAATTAAATGAAATTTAAAATGCTGAATTTGAAACTATGTTAACCGGATCTTTTTCTCTTTTAATTTTGTTTTTAAATCTTAACTACTGGTTATATTACAAAGCTACAGTTACAAAGACAGGATGACTATTTTTATCATATTTACTTGGAGTTTTTAATATTTCTAGTATCATTTATCACTGAGGCTAAGTCTGTTTCTTTACCTTTTATTCTATGATTAGAGTTACTTTAATTCAAAAAAATTGGGATTATAGGGAATAAAAATAGAGGATCCTTCATTATACCTCCAGACTCCTGGAGGGGCTTCAGCAAAATCTCATTTTACATTATGCGTTGTTTTTATTCCCTAAAGTTTCTTTGGGGACAACAATAACAACAAAAAAGATGACATTAGCAGTTTCTGAAAGACTTTTTTTCTTTAAAGAATAACATGCAAACAGGAAAGTGCCCAATTTATAGCTGTATAGCCCAGTGAATTTCACAAAGTGAAATATTCGTGTAACCAACATCTGCCTCAAGCTGTATAATACTTTGTACCAGTATCCCAGAAGTCCCCTCATGACCTTATGGCCCTTCCCAGTCACCACCTCCCCACAAGCATGACCACTGTCCTGACTTTTAAAAATATATATATATCTTTATTGATTTCAGAGAGAGGAAGGGAACGGGAGAGAGAGAGAGAGAAACATCAATGATGAGTCATTGATCGACTGCCTCCTGCACACCCCCCTGCTGGGGATGGAACCCACAACCTGGGCATGTGCCGTGACCAGGAATTGAACCAACAACCTTCTAGTGCATGGGACAGGACTCAACCAATTGAGCCACACAGGTCAGGACTGTCCTGACTTTTAACACTATCCATTTTTAACTTAAAGTGTTTTAACGTTATATAGATGGCATCATACAGGATTACTATTTTGTCTGGCTTCTTTCTCTCAACATTATATTTATGAGAATAATTTATATTGTTGTGTATAGCAACATTTCTGTGAATATTGTTTGAATATACCGTAGTTTATTCATTCTGCTATTCATTTGGGTTGTTCCTAATTTTGAACTATAATAAATAATGATTCTGTGAACATCCTACTATGTGCCTTTTGGTTTAAAAAAATATATGTATGCACAAGTACATGTATATGTATATACACAAATACAAATATAATGCATTTCCTGGGTAGTGGATATCTAGCAGTGAATTTTCCAGGTCAAAGGAATTGTATGTTTATTTAGCTTTAAGTAGATACTGCTAACCAGTTTTCCAAAGTGGTTAGACTAATTTACACTTCCAGTGGTGGTATCTGAGAGCTCCAGTTGCTTTATATCCCCCAACATTTGGTACTGTATGTCTCTTTAAATTAATCTTTCTGGTAATTGTGTAATGGTGTTATATTGTGATTTTAATTTTCATTTCTCTGGTAACTAATGAAGTTTTAGCAACTTTTCAGTTTAATGGCCAGTTATTTTATGAGATGACAGTGTAAGTCTTTTGCCCATTTTCTTAGCAATTATCTGCCTTTTTGCTACTGATTTGAAAGAATTCTTTATGTGTTCTGAATACACATTCTTTGTTGGATATATGTATGACAAGAATCTATTTTGCGGCTTGCTTTCTCATTTTGGTAATACCTTTTGATGAGTTCTTAATTTTAATGTAGTCCAGTTTATCAATTTTTTCTTTTATGGTTAGTATAGTAAGTCCTCGACAGCACCAGTAGGTTCTGCAACTTTAAGTGAAGAGACATATAGTGAAACCAGTTTTTCTGTAGGCTAATTGATATAAACAAGAGTTAAGTTTCTAAGGCACCTCATCAATGTTACGTTGAAATGAGGTTGAACAAAAGGACATTATTTCAGGACCTGCTGTACTTTTGAGTCCTGGTTAAGCAGTATTAAAGAAGGTCATGAAGAGATTTTCCTATGCTTTCTTCCAAAAGCTTTATTGTTTGATCTTTCCATTTGGTTGTTTATATCTACTAGAATTGATTTTTGTATGTGGTTTGAGATAGGGGTCAAAGTTTATTTTTTTCATGTGAATAGTCAGATGATCCAGCATTTATTGAAAACACCGTTCTTTCCCTACTACACTGCAGGGTCACCTTTGTCATAAAATCTAATAACTATGCATGTATGTGCTTCTGTTTCTGGACTTTATCATCTCTTCAATTAGTTTGTACCATAATGTCTTGATTTACTACATGATAGCTAGTGATATAAGTCCTGTAGGGCTTTTAAAGTTATTTTTAGTTCATGAGGATTTATCAGAAATGATTAGATCTGAATTATATTTCTAAGGGCAGTAAACATAGTTAATCCTATATTTCAAATGTCTGGTTTTAGATAGGACAGCATTGGTTTAAATTTTTATTTTTATCTTTTGGTTTTCTGTATAATTTAATATTCCCACAGGATTGAAAATATTGACTCTTTCATGATTATTTGTTTATAATGGCATATTGCCTTAATAATGGTCTTGTTCTTTCTATTAAGATATAAATGGGTCTCTTTTGCCTAATTTATGCCTACAGGTCCAAGATATAACAAATTTGATCCTTTAATCTCTTATTTTAAAAGTTACTTTAAGCATAATTCCTACACATACTTTAGCAGTGTCCATACTGGCATATAGAAGTGAAAGGAATTTAAATTCTGCTTCTTGTCTACAAAATAGAGAATTATGATTATGTACTTCTAAAAAATACCACATAATGTCCCAACTTGAAGAATAATTGAAAGTGAAATTCCATCTGCAAGAGCAATCACCTTTTCTGCCTGAATTCTGAATCCATCTCTCTTTTTCTTCTCTTCCAAATAATATTTACAGTGGAAATTAAATATTGACTCCCAGCAAGAACTCTTTATTATAAGTAATTTCTTATTTTTTCTTTAAAAATTTTTTCTTTCATTATCCTTATAGATAATATCAGCATTCTTTATTAGAGACATAATAATTTGATCATTTGGGGAAAACTTCTTATTTTTAAAGTATTTTTAAAATATTGGGGAAAGCCCTAGCCGGTTTGCTCAGTGGTTAGAGCGTCAGCCTGCAGCTGAAGGATCCCAGGTTTGATTCTGGCCAAGCGCACGTACCTAGGGTGCAGGCTTGATCCCCGGCCCTGGTCGGGGCACATGCGGGAGGCAACCAGTCGATGTGTCTCTCACATTGATGTTTCAATTTCTCTTTCTCCCCCTCCCACTCTCTCTGAAAAGCAATGGAAAAACTTATCCTTGGGTGAGGATAAAAAATAAAAATATTGAGGAAAGTATTATTTTCCCAAATAGTCCCTACTTTTTTGTATTTTGGGAGTATGATATCAGGGGCATGAATTTGGATTAATAACTTTTTATTCATATCATTCTCATCATCGGTGCAGCCTAACCTTTTTAAGTTTTCTATAGAAAAATAATAACTATTACCTAGAAAAATATTGAAATTAACTCATTGTTCTATACTTGATTTTTCATTGATTATTGACATTTGTCAAAGCCCTTTTTCTTTTTTTTACTGAATTTATTGGGTGACATTGGTTAATAAAATTATATAGGTATCAGGAGTACAATTGTATAGTACATCATCTGCGTATTATATTGTATGTCCACCACCCCAAGTCAAGTTTCCTTCTATTACCATTTATCCCTCCTTTACCCCCTCCTACTTCAGTTCTCATCCCCCTTTCCCTCTGCTAATCACCATACTGTTGTCTATGTCTGAGGTTTTTTTATTTTGTTTTTTGCTTAACCCCTTCACCTTTTTCACCCAGCCCCCTCCCCCCTCCCCTCTGACAGCTGTCAGTATGTTCTCTGTATGTATGAGACGTTTTCTATTTTGTTTGTTAGTTTATTTTGTTCATTAGATTCCACATCTAATCATATGGTATTTAGAGGCCTTTTTCTAATATGGACATTGGTCAGCTAGTTTCAGTGTTGGCCTTTATCAAACATATATCCTATAGACAGTAACCAAGCTTATGAATAAAGATGGTATCAGGAAAACTCAGGACTTCCGGGTGCTATACATTAATAGCATTTAATTTTTGAATAGCATTATCTATATTTTTTAACTTTCTCTCTGGCATATATGTAAGACAAACAAAATAGGGATGTGCTTCTATACATGTGTGATACATTAAAAAAATAAAAGCTCTAAGAAACTATTCCTTCAGATTTTTTTTTTTTAATGTTTCTTTATTGTTGAGACCATTACAGATGCCCCCCTTTTAACCCCACTGATCTCCTCCACCCCACATCCATCCCACTCCCAGGCCCTCCCCATACCAATGTCCCTGTCCATGGGCCACGCCCATAAACGTACCAGTTCCCTGATTAATTTTTCCCCACCTACCCCCCTCCCTGCCTTCCCTCTGAGATCCCTCAGTTTGTTCTAAGCTTCTATGTTATTGGATCCACTTTGTTCATCATTTTATTTTGTTTATTATATTCCACATATAAGTGAGATCATGTGGTACTTGTCCTTCTCTGACTGGCTTATTTCACTTAGCATAATACTCTCTAGTTCCCTCCATGCCATGCCAAAGGCCAAAAGGTCCTTTCTCTTCACAGCCGCATAGTACTCCATGGTATAAATGTGCCACAGCTTTTTAATTTTAAATTT